AGGGTCGATGTCGAACAACATATGCATGTGTTTAGTTCATAGAAGCAGCCTCAGACAGGCTGTGGAAAGGTGAAACACTTCCAGGCCAGCAAGTCAGGGTCTCTCCTCTCCTTAGCTCCTGAGTATAGCACGAAGGTCATCAATCAGGTTGTTCCAAACGAAATCAGTAGCAGTAGCACTTTCTCCAGAACCTCCCATTGAACTCTAGATCTGTCGGAACCCAAGCTCAGTTGATTTTTGCTGCTGGACCCACAGGACTTTGCAAAAGAACGGAGGTGGACCTGGGGTGGATCATAGAAACCTGAGTATGAGGCGCAAAAAGCCCTTCTTCCCATCTCAACTTGGAAAGTTGAGTTTGCTTTGCTCATCTTTCAGCACTACTTGAGCCAGGAGCGAAGGAGCCAGGAGCGAAGCAGTCAGAGTGTCTCGGCACTGCCAACAACTCGAGGAGTCCGGGAATCGGGGGCGACAACGGCACTCAGAGGGGCTCGTGCCCCGGGGCCATGAACTGCTTCGTCGCTTCGACCACGTCGGCCGGCTCCGTGGTCGGTTTGCGGAGGTCCAAGGGGCTCAAAGCGGTCCGTTTCCCGAGGGCTTTGTCCGGTTGATCCAAGAAATCCGACACCACTTGGAACGGACCAGGTCGTGTTCCGCATTCCCTTGAACCATCGGACAGGGCACCGTGCGCGGCTTTTTTGACCCCGTGGCCATTGAACGATGGAAAATGAGGACCATCACCATCACCATCTTCGTCTTCGCGTATAGTGCTGGGATGGCGAACTTAACATGAAAACCTTGAATCAAATCGTCACCCACGCTGCACTGTCGGCAGAAAGGTGAAGCGATGTGAAGAGCCACGCTGGCGCTTCTTGTAGTGAGACGAATCTTTACAGGGGACGTTCACCATGTCCAGAATCCGGGTGCCTTAGGTCTTCTGGTTCTGTATAAACTGAGCACACGACACGGCGCGATCTCAATCTGCACCATCGCATATAAACTGTATGAACAAGGACAAGTGTTTTACGATGAACCAACTGACTCACCAGTCGTCTTCTCCAAGTGCAGAAATGCACCATGGTGAATGTCAATCTTGGGCATCAAGTAAAAACATTCTAGTGTCAATTGCTTACAGAACGGATAGAACAGAACGGATGCAATGTCACATAGGTTGGAGATCCATGCCTCGTCCACAGAACTCGTGCCTTGGCCACACCACCTCCTTTCAACTAATCTTTACATACATACATACCAGGGAATTTGGCCTGTTCGTTTCTCCAGAGTCCCCTCCAGGCCCATGATCCGGTGAACAAAACGGTACCCAACCGTCAACGAGCGTACCATGTCGACGTGCTCCTGTGCCGGAAGCGCCCGAAACTCTCTGGTGACCCCGGCATAACCGGTGCTTTCATGCAGCTCGTTCGCTCACACAAATAGTCAGAAAAGCGCAACAAAAGGAAGCAGTTGGGTTGGGTGTCTTGAATCTGATTTGTTCCATAGCAAGCAACAACCAAATGGGTTGAAAGAAAAGGACTTGTACCATCAAACTTCCATAATTGTGTGTGTGTGATCCTGAAGGATACAACCATCCATCAGTGCTTCTTCTGCCCGCTTTCTCGAAACAACTCTGGAGTCAGAGGTCTTTGTCGACGGTGATGCAGGGGTCACGCTGTCTCAAGAACGGAAAACCAAAGGGGCAAGGCCCACACCCGCTGCGGTGTCCCGGTGTCTTGTTCTTTCAATGCAAAACGATGGGTCACAAGAAGCTCCGCCCAACAGGAAGCTCCGACAAATCATGGCTGATCGGGGTCAGGACAACTACGGCAGTCAAGCTGTTTAGGTCAACTGTCTAGTTCAATGGGCTCCCTAGATGGACAAAGAAAACAAAACACAACCACAGCTAATAGGACTGGTGGGCCTCGGACTTCCATTTACCTTTTCCATGAAGCCAATTGTGGCCCTTACAAAGCAACCGAACCAACGAAGCCTCAAACCCTTTGCGTGTGAAAGCAGCCTGGCGGCTTGGGGCGTGCCTGGAGTGGGCATACGGAGGCCTGCAGGTTGCATTCTCCGTCCTCTCCGGAGATTGTTTCACAGTGTGAACAGCTACCCGCTACCACTCTTCTTCAGAACAAGGGTCAGAACTGTTACACTGTAGCTCCCTCTCTATAAGTTGCATGTCCTGCAGGTTTGGTTCGGAATCCTGTCACCACAAATGTTGGGGGACATCAACCAGGAACCCAAACCACATGACCTTATGCTTAGTCCGATCAGCAAAACCTTCCTTTTGATCCTGCTCCTCGTTAGAGTAGAGGTGTCCCAGGGACACCGGACCAATCCTGTCTCCCCCTTTTGGAAGTCAAGACAGCCCCCTCGACACCGGACCGACCGCGGGTGTTCATCAAGCCGTCTCGGAAGATTGCAGCCTGGCGCCGTGAGACGGTCTCAGGGAGAGACGGTCTCCGGGTGTCCGAAGAACGGCGACCCGTAGCCGAGGCAAAAGTGTATTGGGATGATGAACATGTTGGGGAACGAGCTCGGACTACATCTTCCACCCAGTCCTTCAGTGAGAGACAGAAACCCTACACCATCTAAAAACTCCAAAAACACTGCATTTCCCATGGAGCCCTTTCTCCAAAAGACCTACGAGTGCTGAAACAGCAAAGCTTGACGTGATGTTGTGATGAATCTAAAAATGCACCAATTTGGCAGAGTGAACCACGAATTCAGCCTTTCTTCGTGATCCACCACCAAGTTGAGTTGCCATGGGAACCTGTTCGATTGATCCTTACAGTAGTGCCAGGGTGGATGGCACACAACCATCATGGTAGGACAAATGGATCAAGGATCAACAGGTTTTCACCAAATTGGGAACTCCAGGACACCTGCATGTACAGTGGGTATCCATTGTCTGCCTTCCAAAGAGGGTAACAGTAACATCCTAACTTCATCTCTGGGGAAAGCCCCATCAACTCTCCATCGGCGCCGATACTTCAGTTTCCCCTTACCCCGACCTCACAGTGTAAACAAAGCTCGGTCCAGAGCGGTTCGGAGCTCCGTGGCTCTCGCCCTCTCTCCGCGTCGTCGCCTCTCCGCCCTGGCGCGAGCCTGGAGATCTGCAGTTGCTGCACACGATGCGCAGCGCCCAGGACGGCTTGAAGCTCAGATGACCCGCGGCCCCGCGAGGGCCCACGGGTCACGGCACACGGTGCCCGGCAGAAAGAGCGCCAGGTGCAGGGTTCCAAAAAAGAATGTGTAGAAGGTGGTCCTAGTCCTGTGATCCTAATAGCTATGTGTATATCTATATACTGTGTATATCTATATACTGTGTATATATATATATATATATGTTGATTATCTTTTTTATGTCCTGAAATTGGAAGATTTGGCCAAGCAACTGCCATGTTTGCGGGTGTTTTGCCACCTCTTCTTGACGAGAATGTTGCATCGTTCGCTTGAAACATGTTCGTTTGCTTTTTGGGGAGCCGCCGTGTTGATGCCTGAAAACCACAAAGAAACACAGTGCTACTGTGGATCAAAGGTGTCGTACTCGTCGTACTCTGTGGATCAAATTCCGAGTCCTGGTCATCCGTAGCAGGTATTGCTGACCACGATGGGGGTTTCCTCCATTGGGTTCAAGCGAGCACTTCAAGGCAAAGTGAATCCCACCACAGAAAAGGCCCAACAACATGTCAGTGGAATCTGAGAGTAGATAAGTCAAGCTATGAATCCTATCAGTTTTCAGCTTTGCAGACTCTCTCTCGTGTCCAAAGTTCTGAATTGAGTTCTGATGATCTACAACGTTCTTGGGCGGTGCACAACATCTGGGTCGTAGGACCTCTGCGCTTAGATCTGCAGGGCAGCGACTCACCCCATCACGTCCGGTCGCGGCCGGTCAATCAATCAGTCTTAATTAATTGATTGCATGCAAGCTTCGGAGATCGCCTTTAGAAACACCCCTTCCAAGCTTAGCTTTCCAAGCAGCAGGGGGGCGGTTTCACAAGTCCTATTTCAGAAGACAAAAAGATGAATAAAAAGTACGACAGAAAAGATCTGATGGCTTCACTGGGAGACAGGGACTTGCTGGACCCCCTTCAACACGAGGACGCTTCATTCTTCTCGTGAACACAGGTTGAAGATGGCCCAATGGCCAGATGTCAAGCATTCTCAGGCGTCTTCAAAGCTCACTCAAAATTCATCGATTTTGAAGCGTTTGGGCCCCTCCCACGGGGCGCTTCGTGGAACTTCACGACCACTCCACGCTGGAAGGTCCTGTGTGTGAGCCCTGCAGTCAAGGAAAGGGCATGGATGCGGCAGCAGGTGGGCCATGTGTATGGCCTGGAGCTATCCAGATTGGCAATCCACCAACGAACCCCAAAGAGCTAGAAACCAGCCATAGGAGCGACCCACAGTCTTCTGAAGTTCACCCAGGTTCACTCATGACCCAGCATGTTGAATCTGGCATCAAAACCACAGCCTTCTGAAGTTCCCCAACAGCCTTCTGCTCGGCCCATGTGGAAACCAGAAATTGACCAAATCTCTCCCGAAGATGCCACAGGAGACCATGCTCTTCAATCCTCAACGGGAAAACAGCCACCTCACGTTTTGGGCGGGCTCAACTAAGTCTCCGGAAGAGGAGAGCGTCAACATGTCGCGGGGCGGCCCCCAACATTTTGGGTAGCTGGGGAAGGCCATGAAGACCCTCGGGAAATTAGACTACGGATTACCCAGAAGTGGTTATGATTGGGTTGTGATTGTTTTCTTGGATTGGAGGTCACCCCGCTAATCCTTCCAGGAGGGAAAGAAGCGGTCTGCTATCTCCGCTCCTGCTTTCAGTTTGCACGCTCACCGGCAAACATATTGCAGACTCAAACCAGCGAGTGTGCAAAGCGTCCAGGAACACAGCCCGTCCAGGAACAAAGCTTGGCCTTCTGCTCAAACGAACATGATTAGGCTTCTCATCCTCATGGGGTTCTCACTGCATAAGAGCTTCATGCAATAATGGCAACCACTGTAACCAACGACGCACCACGGAAATTATTTCTCGCTTTTCTTGAAAGTTAAAGAGATACAAGGACTAAGGTCGACCATCGACTGGAGCGATTGTCCAAGATCGATGTAAAAGAGGATCTTAGCTCAGCAAGAAGCTCCTGACAAAGGGGCAGAATCAATCGATACGTAATACACAACAGAAAAAATAGACATACATGCACTTTAAAGTAAAAAAGAAAAACACTGTTTTTGTTCAGGACAAAATTGACGCGGGGTCCACTCAAAAGGCTCCTGATGCAAAACACCCCTCTTATGGGTCAACCCAATGCAATAAGCATTGCAAGGGATGACGATGCTTCGTGAATGGGCTTGCTGTCAAAAAACATCAACTGGCAAGCGCTTAGGGTGCTTGCGGAACTCCCAAAAAGCTCCTTCATCGCTCCCTGTTTGAAGGGGAATATGGATAAAAGAGCCGAAAGAAATGGACGTGGGTCCATGGCTCGAAGCTAGAGATGCTGAAGACCACCAAGGAATCATGACACTCTGAGATCAAAACGTTCAAGTCCCATACCTTGCAAAAAGAAAGTGGGGAACGCTATCTCCTACATTGGTCTAACATGCTGCAAAGTTTGGAGATACCCTAAAGAATCTGCATGGTCTTCGCACTGAGGCGGTCCAAACATCTTGAATGAAATGTTGCAAGGACCATTTCGCGGGACTGAGACCTCTGCCACCAACACAAAACGGTCCAATCGCAACCTCCCAGCCGTTCTGTCCAGCTTAGGCAGCTAATTGGGCAGTGACAACCTCAGCTGATTTGGGAGAGAAAACAAGTGCTAGGTTGGTGCTTCCTCCACATCGGATTCCTTTAATTAGTGGTATCAGAGTACGTCTGATGCTTGTGTGCAAGGAGAATAAAGCAGCACCTGCAGTCCTGCGTCCTTCGTTTTCGGCAATACCGGAAAAGTACTGAGCTGGGCACAATGAGCACCCGGGACAATTTGGACAAAGTGGTGAACAAAAAAAACACCTCCGCCTACCCACTCCAGCTGCAGAATAGTCCTGGTCCTCCTTCCCAACAAGAAAAGAATAATATGTGCCAAGATGTTTAACAATAAATTAATGTATTTTGTTATATTATACAATAGAAGCATCTTGGCAATTAATGCAAAACCATCATACCTTTGCACTGGTCATCTCAAAAAATGCTGGGCTCCTAATTATATACTTTCTTTGGGTGGTAGATTTGGCCAAGAAAGATAATTGGAACCAAAAGCCTCCAATGAATTCTTGAGATTTAAAGCATTAGGCGCTTGCCTTCCAAATAAATCTTGATAAATGTGTAGTTTGCCTTCTTCAAGAAAGCTATATTTTTCTTTTGCTTCAATCAGTCGATTGCAAATCACGAAAAAGAAGTGACTTGGCTTGGATTTCGGCTTTGACAAAAGTTACAACCGTTTCTCCTCTGCGAACCTCGAGAAATCGAGCTGCGAACGAAACGAATCGCCGAATCGAGCTGCGATGAACGGCTGGAGTCGCGCAGTCGATGAACGGCTGGAACCGGTGGATCTCAGACCCTGAAACGAAGCCCAAAACGGACCATGTGTGAGGACCGGGGAGGTGGGGGAAAGCTTCTCAAATATATATATATATATATATATGATTTCAACTGAGCTGTGGAAAAAATCAAGAACAGAAAAAGGACCGACCGACCAAAAAGGAAAAGAACAAGTTCTCGGCCGTGACGGACTCGAGAGTTCGCGACGGGTCCAAAATAAGAAGTTCGTTCGCGACTGGTCTGCTCGTCCGAAAAACCGAAAAAGATCCCGTTCGATTCCCAACTGAGCTACAGCTTGGCTGTGCCCTGAAAGCACGCGGACGCACTTCCCGCTCGAGGCACTCCTCGGAGAAAAGAGAGGGAGAAAAGAGAGGGAGAAAAGAGAGGCCCGAGAGACACTCCTTGAGACCTTGTGGGCCTCTTAGCCACATGGGACGATCGGTTTTTTACGATTCTTCTTCTGGTCACTTGTAGATCAATCATCATCAAGCATCTACATCTTCTCCACATACATCACAGTGACCAGAACCTTGTTGACCCATTTGCTGGTCTTTGGTGGTTCTTCCGGCCCATACCGGTCGCAATGTTCATGCATTTCCCACTCGCAGACCGCGGACATTAAAGGGCCTCTGACTTTCTCCGATCTGGACCAGATCTGGGAGGAATCCGACTACACGGCAAAATGCAAAAATAAAGCTAATCTGGATGATCATCGGCCTCTCAGAAAATCTCATCTGGATGTTGAAAATCTGAGAGGCTGCTAAGCTGCTCAAGAAGTTTTTGAGCAGCTCTTGTCAAGCGGATTCTTGAGGTTGATAGGGTGTTGCCTGTTCTTCTCCAGAAGCAAATGAGGGACTCCAGACTCCAGACTCGATCCCACTCCACTCAACAAAGTGACCCAATCTTTAGAGCAAGCAGTGCCAAAAAGACCTGCCAATGCGTAGGGAGGATTCCCGTTTCTAACCGAACAACCAAACAGTTTGGGCTGGTTAACAACTGAGGCTGTTGGGTGAGTGTGTTGGGTACGAAAACTGAGAACCCATTGATTCGCCGACAAATCGATGGTGAGCCCAAGTAGGGTGCCGACGGGTTCTACCTACCAAACTGTCACCGACCCATCCGTTTCGCCTGCCTTTCGCCCACCCCAAAGCCAGAACATGCGCTTGCCCAAAGAGACCGTCTTCGGACTCGCTCTCGTCTGCCAGGAGACCAAATCCCGGCAGATCCGTCATACGAGGCGGTGGCAATCAACAAACCATCAGGAGAGAAGCTGGCCGCTCTCACCCAGTCGGTGTGCTTGCCTCTCGTCGAACCCGGTGGACCCACCCGTCGGACCCACCGTCGCACGAGGGTGGTCGTGTGGGGGGGGGGATGGTTTGGCTAGCTGTGAGGTGTGACCCAGGAGCGATGTATTCACATGGAGCCTTAAAGACTTTGGGTGATCACTGCATTCCAACCACCAAAAAAGAAACATGGCCCTTGCAGCTGTGCCTGTTCTTTCTGTAAAGAGAATGAGATAGACACGTCTGATCGAGAAATGAACCGGTAAATCATAGATCTGTTCGGGGGAAAACCATGTGGCACAAACATCCCAACCGCTCAGATCACCATCGTCCACAGACATTCCACTCTGAAAGTGCACGAAAGCTTAGAAGACAAGGCCATCCTTAAACCAGTGGGTTTGACCATAGATGGTTTTAAGAATTGACGCTACTACCCTGGAAGGTGGCTGCAACTTATTGGCGCGATTTTAAAGAGAAAAGGGTCTTGGGTCTTGGGTTCGGAGGTTTCCATGCTAATTGCTCAAGCTAAGCAACTGTAGATAATGACGGTTAATTTTAGAGTCGCTACTGGAAACTGTGACAGGTTTCACCAGCTGCTAAACCTTTCGATGAAAGATGAAAACTGACAAGGAGTATTGAAATTGATGTTTTTCCTATTTTCTAAAAGTTGTGTTCTACTATCTTCTATGTGGCTGACGTCCCTGGTAGTCCGCTTTCCGCTCACCGGAATGTTTCAACTGGCCGGTTCAGTAGCTCCTAGGCCCTTGTAATACTTAAGCATGTTTCGGTTTGCCTACTTGCCATCATCACCAAACTAAACAGAAGCAGGGCTGTGCCCGTCGATAAATAGAACCCCAAACAAAGCTTCTTGAATCTGAGTGGCTAAGTAATCCCAATGTTTTAATGCCATGGTTAAGTCACATAAAGCCTCTGCTTGCACCACATTAGGAGAGGGCAGTGGCCGTCCTGTCGTTTTGAGGTCTTGCACTTTTCAAGGGTAAACAACATATGTAACATAAGCATGACTCAAGGCAATAAGGAGTGTGGGCTCGGGCCTTGCATAAAGAACCTGTTGGGTACTGCTCAAACTCCTTCTTTCCTCTGGGCACTTGCACAAGACAGTGTCAGTATGTGTCAGTGTACTCTACTAAGTATTGGAACTCTGGCTTTCTCAACGCTGGCCCGCCTTGTGTTGTGAGAGATGATTGATTTTCTTGGATTCTATGTGTATATATTGTTTAAATAGAATTGCACCACATCCAACAAACACCCATCAACTCGCACCATTCAACCCGCCCGAACACCACCCGGCCGGTTGGTTGGGCCTTTTAAGGACAACTGCAGCTGACCGGTGGCCAAATGGATCAAATTCACGGTGTCTGATGCGCAGGCGATCAGAAGCCTGGCCGTGTCGCTGACCGTCGCTTTCTGTCAGAGCAATCAAATCCGCAAAAATGGCAGGTGTTGGTTTAGAAAAACAATGACCATGTCCAGTTTGCACTTGCCTAGGTTATTGAACATACCATACCATACGGCCTAGACCCTGGCATTTTGGGGGGTGCTCTGCAGGTTGTCCCAGGTCAGACGTGGTGGACACCAGGGAGGCGAGACTCACCTGACCCAGCTGTCGGAGGCGATCAAGCCGCTCCGATAGCTGGGTCATGGAGCTGGCAGACCCCGACATGTGAGAAGAAACCGATCAAAGGCCCCAGCTATTAGAGTTGGGTCTATCCTATGACCAGGATCCAGTACATGATGATTACTAAAGGCCTTTGTTTAAAAATAGTGATTTGGTTTACTGACTGTTACAGGCAAAAGGACAGACCCAAACCATCCCAATTGTTCGAAAAAGGAGCCCAAGAATGTGCCGCCTCCAACACATCAAGAGGTATTCAGTGTCCATGTCAGCTGTCAGTAAAAGTAGATTTTGCCCACACCGACTTTTGCTAGGGGCCCGGAACGCAGCGCATCAAGTCATTTCATGTAATAAAGGGTTGAATGCTTCTTCCAAAACTGCTTTCAGCTGCTTTATGCATCAGGTTAGTCCATTCCCAAAATTTGATGGACAAAAAGATCTCGGTCTCGATCGCCTCGATCGGAGCGAACTCCTCCGGCCTAGATCCCTCCGGAGAGAAACAGGCTGAGCTCACCACTCCTCCTGGGTCGCCAATCCGTCGAAGGAAGCGCGGGGTCCAAATTAGGATTCAGGGGCTTGGTCTTCCACGTGTCAATTTTCAGGGTTCATGTGAGTGTGCACGGGGGCTTCTTGCTACCATCTCAAATGACTGCAGCTTTGGGAGGAGAGTTTATCACTGGTGTCCAAAGTTCCTACTTAGAAGTGTTCTAGTCTTCGCGGAGAAGCCTAGAGTATGAGCAGGATCCATCGCAAATCGCCAGGACAGAAAACGACCACCATCGGCTTCACATTCGAAAAGCCCGATTGGAGAGGGTTCTATGTGACAGGGGATCAAACCACTGACTGCAAGTCAGTACAACTGTTTCGTGAGTAGCAACCTCCTTGGAGGCAAATACTGTATCATTGTTCTGTAGCGACTCATGTGAGCACGCACCAGCAAATATGCTCCCCACCCTTCGCAGTGGTCTGCTCTTCGTGCCTTCTCCTTCAAGACTCAGTGCACACTCCTGAAACATGCACATGCAAGCAGGACGAAATCTCTCACCGCCCATACCCATAGTCGATGGGTAGTTTCCGTTCAACCCTTATCCCCAGGATTTTGCAGGTGCGACTTTGTCCGAACCGGTAAGAGTACACTAGTTGAACGTATATATATATATATTATATTATATATATCTATACTCCCGAAAAAAATATCATGGAACACGACTTCAAGTCTCAGTGCTCACTAACATGGTCTCCCTGCTCGTTTGGTTTCCTGGGGAATATGGAAACCATCGGTCTCAGGGGAAGAGGTGGTTGGGGAGACTAACATAGACCACCACAAGGATGGAATGAAGATTGGCGCACTACAAATGCAGCACCCAGGAGAGGCTAACATGGAATACGTCAGAGTAGTCAAGATCCAGGAAATCCAGCATCTGGAAATGATCCATGCTAGTCTCACCTTGGTTCATTTACCTGGGAAACTTTCCCACATTTTGCCCACACTAACATGGCCCGCTCCCAGGAGCTTTTTCACAAATAGGACACCTCACGGTAACATACCACACAGATTATATGTTTTGATGATGTTAAATTTCGCGGGTGTAGTTCTCCAAAAGACTTACTCTATCCTTTTTTGAGATGGCAACGAGAGGGTTGTGGGAACATTTCCAGAAACTGCTGGCTCCCATACTTACATGCCCAGATTGGAACACCTGGACCCATCTACCCATACTTCATTCGCTTAGACCCACACCCAAATGTTGTCAAAGACTCAAAGTTCACCGCCTTTAATACCTCCAACTACAATAACACACAAGAAAAGATTTAGGTGTTTCCTATCCTGATTCTGCAGGATATCTTTCGTCAACGGTACCTTTACGATCCACGGCCCCAAAGTTGCAGACCGCCCCAGGCTTGGGAAGGGGAAGCTGAATTTCCCACTTCACGCAGTGCAAAAGTGGGTTTGGTCAGTCGGATGGGTGGATCGGACGATGGAAAAAAAGAACGACAGACCTCCACCCTAGTAGCCATGACCTCCACCCTAATAGCGATGGCCTCCACCCCAGTAGCGATGAAAAAAGAACAATTCACATGTTGAGCTGAATGAATTGTCCTCAACGCAATAACGCAATACAAAAAGCTTCTGGGCACATGGAGACGTTCGTTTCCAAATGTTGGCGTTGGTGCAGAGACACCCTAAACCCTGAAACGCTCAACCGCCAGGATTTAGACTCCTACTTCGCCAGGGCGGTCTGTTTTAGAAATGCCAGAAACCCCGAAAGGTTAGAAAAAACACAGGTTGGGGCTGCGACAATCCTAAAGGTTTATCTACTAGCTGAGTCATACACTGCAAGCTGCTGTGTAAAGTTTGGTAGAAAATCACAAACACAGTGCGTCATTGTCCGTTGTCTTCTTGATCTGTGCTTTTCCAGACCGAGATAAATGGATACTCTTCCAATGATTTGGAAGCTTTGATGCCACGGGGGTCCCGCGGTCACTGGTGGCTCCAGAAAGCTGAAGAACCTCCGAACCAACGAAACCAAGTCTGATCACATCATGCACCACCAGGGCTCAGTATGCTGATCACATCCACCAGTGCCCTCGATACCTTGGTGGCCGCGAATCAGGCCTTCCGGGGCTGTTTTGACTCACGGCTGGCGCAAGGAGGGTCCTGACAGAGGCTTCAAAGGTCTTGAAAGATTGGGCCTCCCAAGAATCATGTTCATGGGCCCGATGGATCCCAGCCCACTTTCCGGTCGATGAGTGTGTGAACTTCCGATCCCCCAACTCAATAGTCGATAGGTCTCCAAGACGGTGGATCCAACCAACACTTGCCTTTAACCCTAGAAGCAAGAGGGAGATGGTAAAGACGAGCAAGATCTCCATGTGGTCTTGTTGTAGTTGTGGCGAGTTTCCGTGCTGTGGTTGACACGTGTAGGCCCTGTAGGCACCACCCAAAGAGCGACCGGCGACTGTGCTCTCTCCCCAGGCCATTGCCCAGTGGTCGCCTTTGATCCACGCCCACAAACCCCAATAGAAGTGAGTGATGTGATTAGGAACGTATGCAGCGATCTATTTCAAGTACACCTCTTCAGGAAGCCCAGCTTGTTTCGTGCTGGACCGTGCATGAATCCGGAGTCTGAGCCCTATTTGAGTCTCAATGCGTCGGACCGCAACCAGGGATAGCTAATGGACATCCCGTCGGGTCGCCTGCGGAAAACACTACACTTGATATGTGCGCATCGCCAACTCATACATCCCGCCAAAGAAATGGCGTGCTGAAACCTTAAACAGGAACTGGAACAAAATGACCCATGTTCCCCATTGTTCCCCACTCCTCTCACTCGCTCATGACTCCTGATCTTCCATCAGCCCAGCAAAAATGCCCTCCTTTGTCACATCAAAGTCGAACCTATTTCGTCGGAAGTCAGACCCACCTCCTCCTCCCAAAACCCGCCCAACCAGCCACCCTCGTCCACCCATCTCCAAGACACCCTCGTCGAACTCCCAGAGCTTCACGGTGCCGTCCCTCGACGACGTCATGGCCCGAAGCCCATCGGGCGAAAAGCTGCATCCGTTCAGCGCGCCCTGCGGCGGGGTTCGGGGTTCGTTCTCGACGCGCGGCGAGAGCGAGCTCGCTTTGGCGGCGAGCGAAAGCCGGAAAAAGGCTGCGGAACTGAGCCCAGGTGGGCCCGGAAGTGTCGAGGAAGTGAGCCCGGTGGAGCAGAGAGTGGTGGCGGTAAGAAAAAGTGACGAAGGAGGTTGGGACAAGCAGAAAAATTCTTGGAAGGGTGGAGCGGAGCAATGGAGTAGCTTGTACCTGAAGCAGCTCCACCGAGTGGGAAGGTGAAGGTGATCTCGAACTTGCGGAGGCTCCGGTTTTTGCTCCGAAATGGACCCTTCCACCATGTAAGCCGGGGGGTCCAGACGTTGGGTACATGACATGAACACTGTACAGGATGAATAAGCCATGCACAATGCAAATGTACAAGTTGTCAGAAAGGGAATTGGAACCCCGGTTCTGAAACCAACCAGCGTGGATGGATGGAAAATGCACGAAGGATGAAGGTTCTGTCTGCCGCACGAAGTGGTGGTGAAAGTGGTCGTGATCATGGGTGCGGTCGTGAAGCCGGCTGCTGTTGGTGCTGTTGTTGGTGATTCTGCAGCCCTAAATTCGGATTGTGCACTAGAAGCTACTAGTAACAAGGGCATCGCTACTAGTAACAAGGGTATTACTACTAGGAACAAGAAGCTACTAGTAGCAAAGGGCATTGCTAGTAGTAGCTCCTCTCTCCTAGTAACAAGGGTATTAACAACGGTATTACTACTAGTAGCTCGAAGCGGTCACAAAGCCCCCGCCTGGTGACCCACAAGGACTCTCAGGCATTTCCCGGTCTGGCAGCTCCAGATGCGGCCCGTGTCATCCGAAGAAGCCGTCAAAAGGAACCGACTGTCCTCAAGGGAACTGGCATCGTGGTGTGCTGCGAAGCATCGAAACATTGGAAGGCAGGACCGAGTGACAGTGGCAAAACAAGTGTGATCAGGCAAGTCAAGATGACCCATGGCAACAAGAGTTCTGCACGCTGGACCAACATTTTTGCAGTTGGATGGCAATGGACACAACGGGGTCTACAGGCTCTAAGCATGTCTACATCAAGTATATACCCAGGTGGCCCGGGTCAAAGGCTCTGAGCTTCAATTTGTTCAATCGAAACCTCATGACTCTTAGCAAAGAATCATCTGGATTCCAGCCAAGGATAGGAGATAGGCGGCAAGAGGCTAGTTTCACTCAGGAGTCATTGTTATCTCCGTTCTGAGAAGTGACTCCATCGTTATGTCCTTCCACGACCGAGAAGATCTCCCGAGCGCGAGTCTCGCGCGATCTCCCGGTGGGCCTCTCTGGTCGAGCCGAGCATCCGCTGAGAAGGAGGAAGATCGCACGGCCCCTTGATGACCGTGAAGAGTAAATCGCAAGTTGCCTGGAGATCTCCCCCCGCTTCGCCCGGAGAGAGGGGAGGAACACAGGAAAGGACTCGAGGTCCTTGGGGAGCCACCGACTTCCTGTTGGACCAGGGCAACACGAGAAGAACGACTCTAGCCTGGGGAAAACCCACCCACCCCGAGTTGTGGCCACAGGCCTCTCTTCAAACCGTTGCTCCAAGGCCGAGGCCTCTCCCAGGCTTCCTTCCAGTTTGCCGTTCTCTCTTGCACATGTCTTGTTAATACAATCAAATATACATACAGAGAAAAACATCCCAACACCATTGCCATTGGCACCCTTTGGCTAGGACCAATTTGGTGCTGGGTCCCAATCATCCCCGCAGGATGGCCCAAACCCAAAGGACCCACACTGAGGACCGCTCACCCACGGCAGCCAGTGCAGATCCTCCGATACCGCACCTTCTCAGGCTGAATCCTAGCAACACCCTGCAAGCTACGAAGAAAACTGAACGACCCGTCCAACCACTTGGTGTGTCAAATGGGAATGGAGCAGTGCACTTGGCAATTTTTGTGCGGCACCTCCAAGATACAATTTCTTCAAAATCATGTCTAGTATTTTAGTGGATGTCCTATTCAGTCCCATTTGGAGTCATCGTCGACTCGACCCGCCTGTGGTGTCCCAAATTTGAGTGCAGTAGCCGGCAGCGGTCACCACCAGCTTCCCGCAAGGTGAGAAATGAGCAAAGCTCATCCTCAGGTCGATTCGAGACTTTCCGGGAGACGCAAGGGGGGGGGGGGGTTCGGGTCATGTGGGGATGGTATCTGCTCCAAGGGTGTTGAACCCTGAGGGTCTCGATGTCATGAATTAATTTATCATGGCCAAGACCAGGTTGTTCGGTTCCAAGATTAGTGCCTAGAGTCGACTTGGAACTAGGACAATTGCAAGGATAGTAGGTTTTTGCATCTTGACCTCTACGGACGGACTAAAGCGACTGACTGGTTTGAAGCCACTGAAAAAAGGCACTCCTGTCACTTCCGCCAAGCCTCTCGGTGTCATCATCCGAGTCCGAATCCCATTGAGACGATGCGTTTGGCGCAAACATCCTGCCCGATGGCATCTTGGCTGGCTTGAGTCAGTGTCACCAGGGTTCCATCTGTCCTAGACGACACCGAACTGTCTTTCTTCTGGTTGTGAACCCTTATCTTAAGAACCAACAGGGTGAAGCTTGAAAACCACGCTCCCCTTGTTGAACAGAAACTGTCCCACTGGTAAGGTCTTGGTTTCCCCTGCCGTTTCTCTACATGGCCAGCAGCTACCTCAGTGTTTTACACACGATGCAAGTCTGTCAGCTGACGAGAAAATCTCCCACGTCCTTTGCAAAACTTTACCCGTCTGCGCGCACCAAATCACCGCCACCTGGATGGACCGCGTGCGCAAGTGGTGCTTCATGAACGCACGGTTCCCCAGAACGGCAGTGCTTCCCCGGCCGTGCTGGGTGGGAAAGTGAAAAGAATTGCTGGGTGGGTGAGTTCAAGGAAGGTGCAACCAGTGCTCGACTTCAGGGGGACCAACAAAACCCCACAGAAAAGGCCACTCGAAACAAAACCACACGGAGTGATGGTTGCTTCAAGTTTGACCACTAGATACACTGAATATCGCTGGGTCACTCCATCTGCGTCGATGCCAACTAAGCTGGTGCCATTTGGCGAAAAAGAAGCTGAGGCACATCCGCCTGGGCAGTGCTGGGGCAGGAGCAATCCAACAGAGCAGGCCTCACTGCCCACGAGATTCTGACAGATTCCTGGTGCCATTTGGGAGAAATGCAGAGCGTCTAAAAGAGGAAGACCGGAGCAAGTTCTGCACCCCCAGACACCGGAAAACCACCCAAGCTTCGCAGCAATTTTGTCGATTGAAGGATCTTCTACTTAATGCAATGGTTGGCACAATTCGCTCGCTATTCTTCGTTCGAGCAGGGAAACTCACTGGATGTTCCTCAGCGACCGCGCAGACACCAGCGCGGTGTCTGGGGTGTCGCAACAGTGCCGGACCAGGACGTCCGTCCTGGGTTTTTGTTGTGCTAGACTCTAGGCTCTAGGCTGTTAAGTAGAGACCCTCACTCTCTACAACTGCCCAAAGCACTATTTGAGCAGGTCAGTAATCCCGTTTTTGGCTGAACCAGCGGGATTAAACAATGCGTTCAGACAAATGAAATTCTCAACAGTGAGAGCAGCTGGCGCACTCAACCCCAAAACTGTTCGGCCTTCACAAAACCCCCGTTGCTCATAAAAACCATGGTTCCAACTTTTCAATATGTTTTGTGCCTTTGAGCGTCAAGTCTGGATACAACCGGTGCGGCCGTTCAACTACAAAGAATACACCTGAGTACACCATGTGTCTCTCAATTGAAGCAAACCTGGTCCACAAACCGGCGTTTTCCTTTGCAGATGCAACAAAACAAGCCGGGAGTGGAGTCCTGGAATCACCAGTCACCAGTCATGTGAGTCTCAAGCCAGCCGCCCATTGCGCCAGCCTCACTTCTTCCCACGGCTCTCCCCGTGCGTCTCGTCTAAACCATCTCTCGGGGTTTCTCCGAGGAAGCCGTCGCCTTGGAGTTTCGCAAGGAACTTTCCCGTTTCCGTACAGAAGAGCTTTCCACTTCCGCCATCCTGCGCGGGTCATTGGAACCGGTTGGAAGCAGCTAGCCATCGGTTGAAAGGGCCGGCCCTTCCACTAAGCTTGGCATCTGTGGGGCACAAGTGACTGTATGAACTTGATAAAAGTCAATTCCAATAGTGGTTGGTGCGAAGAAAGACCGGGTGGTTGAGCGCAGGAACGGTCAAGACTCTGGTCAAAGCCATTCCTGGGGTATGTGGTTCTTTGGACCATGCTGTGAGAAACCGCAAGAGCAACAAAAACACCACTGCCGTTTGCACAAGGCCTCTAGAAGCAGTCAAACCATGACTATGACGACTAAGTTCAGTAAATGTGGGTGTGAAGAAATGCAAGTGTTGACTCGTTGACGATCAATTTCAAATACTCTGTGATGTCAATTCCTGCTGAAATATTCCTCTTGTATGCTTCTCTTCCATCCTGTTGATGTCATCGCGGCATTCGGTCTTGCATTCTTGTTTGCTCCAACTTGATTGATAACTTGATACTCATCGTTGTCTTCACCTGTGGCTTTGCCTACCTGTTCGGCTGCCTACATCGTCCCTTAACATTCGACAATACACCTCATCACACAGCGCAAAGGGCTTTTCTCATGAGAGAGAGAGAGAGAGTGTGTGTGTGTAACATGTATATAGTGTGTTTGGTATTGTTCGCTTGTACTAAATTACTAAATGTTGTAGGAATTATTCAGACAAGCAAAAAAAGCCAATATATAACTCTGGATCAAACATCAAGGCCGGCCAGAAGTTGTGCCACACCCAGAAAATAATGAACACATCAAAGCCTGCGTATGGTAAGTCAAAGCTTGTGAACATTTGTGAACAGTATTTGGGTCGTTACATGGTCATACTGAGTCGATGTTGAACCATCTTCGTCCAAATCCAAAGGCACCAACTGGTCGGACCCAGAAAAAAACCACTTCCTGGTGCCGATCCGACCGGTCGCCCCACCCACCTCGGTGGAAATGGCCAGTAGCGTCGACGAGGAGATCTGCGCGCTCTTCAAGGCCCCGCCCGGTCCTCAGCTCTGACCGGGATGGCCGAACAACCGGTGCACCGGGGGGCGGAACGGCCGAAGGGGTTGGACCCCTCGGTGGGACGATCCGTGAGGACACCCAAAAACCCCCTGCGCAGAGCGCTCGCAGAGCTCGCAGAGGACGCAGAGCCCAGTCCCATCTACCCAAACCGGAGGGTGGATCGTACACTCCAGATACGGGGTCAAATCACACCGAGTGCACACATGTAGGACCCAGGTGTTCTTCGCTTGATCAAAGATTGGCTGTGGCCAGTCCTATTCTTCATCCACAAAGGTTGAACAAACGACTTCCATTCAAGACACTGCCCACAATCCGAAATGATGGACACTCGTGTGTTATCAAGACATGCGCTGAGGACTCTTGTGCTTTTGTCTTGAGGAAGCCCCAAAGGGTTCAAGTACCTCTTAAGAGAATGTTCTTACGTGGGGATTGAAGGGTCTAGCTTTCAATGTCGTTGGATTGGTCCTCACCCCGTCTGGAGCCATGAACGACCCTTGAAAGCAAAGACAACCGCTGCAAAATCAAAAACCCTCTCAAAAAAATGTTGCAACGCTACATTCAGGACCCCTTTGGACTGCGCACCACCTCGCCGCTTCCGTCGGAGGTACCCCGCTTCTTCCGTCGGCTGATCCGCTTCCAAGCCGCTCAGGCGCAACTGGGGCTCCTCCTCGCACGTCTCGTGGAAGTCCCACAAACCGACCTCGGCCGCGGCCGAGTGCTGCCGAGCGTCCAGAAGGAGGGGCCCCCACGTAGTAGGGCGTGTACTGTAGTGTTGTTGCGTTACCACCTAGGTGGTAACACCTTGTCTAGAGTGGATCGTTGGAACATCCGAGTTGTCTTGGGAATCCTGGCCTGTGATAGTAGAGGCATCTTAAGATTGCTTGTGAACCTGGACTTCTTAGGCATCGACCTGAAACGATACAGTAACTTTTCTCAGCCCAGTGGGGTTGAATCTTGCCTTTGAGGGGTGTCAGTGGGAGGGTGGTCTCTCTTTCCCTACTCAAGACAAACTCAAGAGGTCTTGCCAGGACAGAGCCGATTTGGGTTACCTTCAATCAATCGAGACATGCATGCTTGCACTCTAGGCCCTAGGCCGCAAGAATTCCACCAACTCCCACACATGGCCCAACTATCAGACTGCTTGCTCCCAAGTATCTGAGCCATCATGAGAGGCGGTAATACACCGCACCGGAGTTCGTGCAAAGTACACGGTGTCGCCGTCCCGAAGACCCACCTTGGCATGTTCAGATTGAATCCACAAAGAAGTCTGGTGATCCCCAAAGAAGTCTATAGTGGCACGGTTTCCGTGGGGATCTGATGCACTTCCATCTATGACAGGGCGTCTTTGGAAGTGATGCATTTTTGGAAGTGATCCCCGAATCTCGAACGTCGAACGTCCTCTGTTTGTGCGTTACTGAATTGAATCATCCAACCTCCAACTGTCCAACTCTCTTTCCCACTGTAGAACCTGTCCCCTTCGGACGCCAAGGAGCTTCATTCAAGGATCTGTGCTGCGGGAGTACCTCCCACAGCCGAGTGCTCCAAGAGTTTGAGAGACGGGTGTGCCCCGAGTTTGGGCTCGTGGGTCCCGGAAACCCAACCCCACGTAGTTCAGTATACACATATAACTACTCAACTCCGCTCTGTATATACATATGTATATCTATATATATATATACTGTATATATGTATATATGTTTAATATATATATATATAGGAAAAGCGAGATGCTCAGCACACTCTCAAAAATGTCAAAGAATGTCACTGGGGCGTTTGCCAGACTTTCTCGCCGTCTTCAGATCAGCTGTTCCTCCCAACTCCGTTGACGACTGGCAGCGCCTCCGACTTGAAGATCAGCGAATGCGACACCACGGTGTTCGTCTCGCCCATCTCTTTCACCACTGCTTCGCAAAGCTGTAAGACTGAATCGCTGGGCTTCAAGCCTCGACGGTGGTGCATGTGACACGGAGCGAGATTTTTCCATCATACATGTTGCATGCATGCCCATGAGATTTATATCTTGTACAATCTACGGAATCTCTATTTGTCGGCACTGGCTCCCGGCATCCTTCCGTGACTGCTTGCCTACCCCAGTTGGGTCTGACTAACAGAGCTCCATGCTGAAAAGAACACCTGCACACTGCACACCTGTTTTCATGCCTGACAAGTAAGACATCAGACACTAAACGCGCACATGTTTCTCTGGGTGAACTTGCGACAAGCGACGAACTTGTGCCAGAGGCTCACCACTCATGGCGCTGCACACATGGAGCTTAAACCTCTGAGTCTCAACTTCCAACTCTTCTAACTTTGTACGGAACACATCGAGGATCTCCTGTCACCAGGCAAGAGGCAGACAAATCAAGCAGACATCGAGATAGACGCTTGACGTTTCTCGTGAAATTCAAAGATAGCCGGTAGCCATTACAAAATCTGCTCAATTTTTTGAGAGGCAAGTACCAATTTATATGCCCTTCCACAATTATATACAATACAAATGGGAGTTTGTTCCTCAGATTGCAATTTGCAATCGACTTGCTACTTTCTCTCAGCCATCGAAAGTTTTGTAGGTCATCAGTCTGGAGTGGATTTGTCTTCTCAACACCAAGCCAAATCCGGAACCCCAACACCCCAGTTACAGAAATTGGTTCCCCTGTTATGGGTCTGTTAGGCTCGCGAACGAATGCTAGAAGAAAACGACTGCAACAAAGTAACCAATGAATCGCTCTCCCTCTCTACTCCCTCGACCCAGGGTACCAGCCCCACACTTTCAGTTTCACTCTCTAGTCAGCTCCAACAGTAACCAATGAATACCCTCCATACCTTTCCCTTCGCAGCCATGCAAGCTCCTCCTTCCGCTCGCGCTCTTCCTCCGTGTCCGAGGAGGAGGCACTCACGGCTTCCTCCGCCCTCTCCAAGGCATCACGAAGATCTTGTAGCCCGTCGTCATTCCGAGCTTCCCTGGGGAAGTGCCACACTGGCAAATGTCTTTGGTGGTTTTTCGGCCAGAACGGGAAGGAAGCTGGGAGTGGTCCAAGGAAGGGTGGATCTTGACTAGGTGAAAATCGTGAACGCATTGGAACAAAAGAAAACATGTCATTGCAGCTTCCGAAATCTGGCCAATCCTTTGGCATGTCAAATACTGATCTCAAACTTTGTCCCAAGGTCAAGGATCTTGGTGGTTTGACTCACCCAACAGTCTCCAGCAATCCCAAAGCACCAGACCGCTCCCCTCACCGCCCTCACCTGTCGCTCTGGCCGAACATGCTGAAAGGCCATCGTGAAAAGGTTGTCATTCTGATCCAATTGTCCCAACTAGCTAACCCTCACTGGCTTGAGCCAAAATCCATGCCTTGGCAGCCGAAAATGGAAAGAAACATGTGGGGTGGGCGATGGTGGGCGATTTGGTGCTTGGCTCTCATCTAACATGGCTCTCGATGCATCACGTGGTGCTTGGGGATCCCCAGCTGAATGGGATGAATGAACCGGATGGAGACGGATGGAGACGGATGGAGACGGATGGAGACGGATGGAGACGGATGGGTGGGTGGATGGATGGGTGGATGGATGGGTGGATGGATGGATGGGCGGGCATCATTTTTGTCTCTTCTCGTTTGGTGTCTCACAACTGCATTTCAAGAAAGCATGT